CAAACGCTGTACATTTTTGAAGGTAAGAGAACCAGGGCACAGTGCAGAAAAGTGTGGACATTGGACTTAAAGCAACAGTAAAACAAATAGTAGTGCTCTTGGTTTTTTTTATTATCTACTCTATCAATTCTTTTTTAATTTTAAAAGTAACCTTTTGTGTGTATGATGACATTATAGTAAGAAAAGTAGCAAATTTATTAATTTTAACTTCACATTTATTTGACATACAATGACTTTTTACATTTCTTTCAGCATTTAATAATTACAATCAATATTTACATTTTTTGTTTTAAAGCTGAGATTAAACCGGCATTGTAGTTTGACATAAAGAAATGTACATCATCAAGATTTCCTGTTGATTCTTTGTACCTTGGAATTATTCTAAAGACGCTATGTGCAAAACTGGTGCTTTTGCTTTTTTAAAGTGATATTAAAGTCAAAAGGATTTTAAGCTATTTCAAATGCTGATTAAATCACTTACAATGGATGCTGCTGCTAGATGTTTAAAAGTTTTAGTTTCCTGCAGAATCAGTTGCCCCCCTGAGCATGGGTCCTGACTTCCTGTTTCAGAGGGACTCCTTTCTCAAGCAGAGTGCTATGCAGTCACCCTTGTGTGTGCTAGTAAGCTGTGTGTGTCTCCGTAAACACACAGACACAGCAAATCAAGCTACCTTCCTCCCCTCTGGCCCCCTCTTGTTCCTTCTCCAATCTAGTAGATGAACAGTTGCTGGAGTCTGCTCTGTCCTTTGTGATTTTGTACTGGATAGGAAGTTCAGACCAGCTGAGCGGAGAGACTTGGAAGCAGATGTTCAGAAACATGATGATTGTAAGTGTTTGGGAAAAATGTAAAGAAATACTTTGCTGGGCAATGTATAGTTGTTTGATCTGGATTTATTATTGAAAAAAGTTTGAGAGTTTAATACTACTTTAATTTTACAAAACAAGTTATTTATAAATACTGAAGATATAGATAAAATAATATGGTCCTAATTAGCTCTACAGTTAAAATTTTCATTTAGGGCCACTGCTTCCACATTCTGAACTGTATGAACAGATCGCTCTATCAGTTTGAAAAAGTTGACTGTACCTGTGATGCATGCTGTATGTACCACACGGGAATATTTGGGGAGTCTGAGATCTCAAATAGGTTCCTTAATCCACAGATTGTTAGGTATAACATTATTTTAAATGTGTTTTTTTTAGGTTCAATAGGTGTTAATAATAATTTTCATTCTTGAAAACCATTTTTTTTTCATTCCCAAATATAAGATGCTTATTTCTTAAGTCTGCATAAAACTTAAAATGTCTCCTTTAGTTAACCAGCATCCAATCCACAACTTCACAATGTGGATGGAAAGTTAGGCATAACAAAATAAGTAGCTGATGGTTTAAATGTTTTATTTTATTTCTTCTCCAAGCATACAAGGTAAAAAGAGGCCAAGAACTGTGATAGTTGGTGAATGTTCGCGTGTGAGTTGGCAAACATGCATGTCTGTGTGTTCGCTTGTGTTGGTATCGGGTGTCACTGAAATCAACTGAAAACATGGATGCATACACCTCTTTAAACAAAGGACAAAGCAAGGATTAATGTAAAGTATAGGCAGTTTGGGTACCAAGTCACAGTGTCTCCTTGTGCCAGAGGGTGTACTTATACAGGCAGTACATAGACTAAATTAAATAAGTGCAGAGGAAGGAGTAATTAAATTGTGGTCATTGTGCTTTTGTGGCACACTTAATTGTTTCAAAACATATTTGCCTTCCTGCTATTAGCAATATTTACTACTTTGAAAACAAGGCACAAGAGAAATTAATTAGAAATATGCCACAGTGGAATCGCTAATGCTATCCAGCAAACACTGCAACTGCATTAGGCTATGTTCTCTATAGGCATTTGAAGGCTTTATTTTACATTTTGATTGACAAGTGCTTTTAAAGAGTAAGCGTATGTCGACACAAAGTAAGTCATAGGCAGGCTTGGTCTGCCTTGTTAACAATAGCTTTGGTACTTTCTGCCACTGTAATCTGTCAGTTGTAATCTGCAATCTGCACAAAGTTTTTATTTACTCCAACACTGTTTGCCCAGTAATGTCTACGACTTTGCCTGCAGCTGAAGACAAGTGGGTATGTCTGTCTTAGGATGCCTTGTAGAGAATGATAGGATAGGTAGCCGAAGGCAAATCCCACACATTTTTTCTTGGCTGCAGACATGGTCCAGTGCTATTGATGGTAGATGTAGACGCCACTCAGCAGACATCAAAATTATCGTTAACAAGACAGACTCTAAATCTTACATAATTCAATTTTGCATAAATACAGTACCCCTTTAAAAAACACCATATATCTGTGCTCGGTATTATAAATGTTGTATTCACTTTGCAATGAAACAGCAATAAATCATATTTATTTATTCTTTCTTAGCAACATTTGTTATACGCAGGATAATAATTTTAACACCAAATAAATAAACAATTTTTTAATATATAAAGCATATATTTGTCCCTAAATTTTATGAAGCAATACGAAATTAATTTTAAAATAGTATTTCATATATACAAATGCATAAATTAAAAAATATCCATACCATCTTTTTTAAAATAATGCGTATCCAAAATAAGCAGAAATAGTGCAAAGCAAATATTATTATTAATATATTCTTTAGAAAACCATTTTTAGCATGCCTACTTTGAAATAAAGTAAGTCATACAGAAATAGTTAAACAGTGCTTGTATCAAGCTCAGTATAATACAAATAGAAAAAAGTCAATAAATTTAATACAGTGTATTGACAGAGAATTATCAGATTTACACAATTTACACAAATATTAATACATTTGGACTAGACCATGTCTGTGCTGATAATTAGAACATCTCGTATAAAAATAGGAGGGAGTGCCTGTTTTTCTCCATTCATTTTCTCATACCTACTAGAGGAAAGTCAGCTAAAATGTGATCGGCTGTTATGCTTATATGCTCATTTCTTCAACTCTTTCTATGAGGCTTAGCGTACCCTAAAATGACCCCCCACCTGCTTCTTATATCGCTCAAAAACTGAGGCAGTAAGCTTTTCATGCCAGATTTCTAAGCTATGGCCCCTGCTATGGATAAAACAAAACAAGCAATGACATCTCAATTTTCCATCTGAATTTTCCATGATGTAAAAAATAATAATAATCCAGTGGCAAAATGGATTAATTTGCTAAATGGATCATGCAATACATTGTGTGAATATTAACTTTAATTATCCAGTCATGTTCAGATGAAATAAGTAAACAGGAATTTGCTATTCGCATAATTGAATAATTGAAGTGAAGAAGGAAGGGACCACAGTGCTCAGTGTGGGACCAGGCATCCAGCATACCCTGCAGTGTACTGGATACTGAAGACTCTTTGGTGGCAGTAGAAATGGAAGATAAACAGTGCAAGCAGTGGGACAGTGTTCGTTTGTAGGCACTGTGTTCATTGAAAGATTGTAAGTGAGCCTCATACTAATAAAATGCTCTTAATTAGTGAATCCTCTTATTTGAAAAAAGATGTAGAACTACCAATCCATTATACTTCTCAACCTGACGTACACAAACCCATGATGGTACCGTGAAAAATGCCAGGGGGTACTTTAAGGGCTGCTTCCAATATGGCGGATCATTAAACTGCTACCCAGGTTGCAACATCAGTGAACTGGTGCAATCATTTAATTTGTGGACACCGTATATTGTGATGCTTGCTTTGGTCATGAGTTGGTTTAAATGATCCTAGGATCACATATATTTTTTCATGGTAAGTGCATGCATGCATGCTAGGTAATGTGTAAGTTTACTGCCTCTCACAATATTGCCCCCAACAATGCCTGTGTCTTTTTCTTTCTCTCTAGAAGCATAGAGCCATCTTTGTCCAGGCATTACCTAGTGTCAGCATCTACTTCCTGGACTAAGATGCTGGATCAAAGATGACAAAATTATGTAAATCCTGGTTCCTGTGCAGTTTATGGGTTCACACATTTCTGACACATATTAGCTCCTACTGCAGCCTCTCACCTTATTGCAAAATTGCAATGCTGCACTCTGATTACTGGAGGAGAAGGGACTGAGGAATTTCTTCCTCCAGCCTGCAGCAGACTGAGGATGTCATCAAAGCCACTGACTAGTGTTCATGAGCTACTTTTTTGAATGGCTTTTACTGTTGCTATATATTGACACGCCAGGAATTTATTCATGCAGACTTCAAAAGTTACTAAAAGGCCTGCTATAACTGTCCCAGGTTTAAATACATGAGCAATATGTGTGGACCTCCTATTGGGTGGAGCCTGGTTTCCACGGAGTTGAACGATTGATACAATGTTACTTTTTTTGTGCTTAACCTGTGATCTTCATTATTGGGAGACGGTTGGGAAAGGAACAATGCATCAGCGAGATTTAGTTTTTCAGAATTCCCTTCTTACTAAGTAACAACAAACAAAAAAGCCTTTTTCCTGAAATGTTTTGTAGCATTATGGGTGTAGATGGGGAGCATCTGGTACAGCCGTCACTACTGACATCAAATTACTACACATTTGCAAAAAATATGCAGCTACAGGTCTCTTATTAACTGAGAAGTTAGGAATCCTATTATCTATATTTATGTAAACAACTTATATTACATTTGTATTGTATGGAGTTAGCAGAAGAATACAAAATAAAATGTCAACTTAAAATTTTTTTGAGCTTCTAAATTCTTAAAGAGTGCTTGAGCTCAGGGATGACCCTCGAGTGCGTATGTTGGCCAAAGGGGTTAAGAACCTCTCCTATGTGATGCCATGGGGGTTATAGGTATGCCCTTATCTTACATGCATAATGGGGCATTCATTTGCTTAAAGCAATAATGTGTCCAAATAAAAGTCTTTTAATGTGCCATATATAACGTTTTCGAGTTTGAAAGATTTCTAGATGGTAAATACCAAATTATTACATACTGTAAATATTTTAAAACAAAGAACCCCTAAATACAGCAGAGAGATTCAACTCTGGTCATATCTCTCATTTTGATGAGCAATGTGGTCTTCATTTTGAGATGATAATGCTTACATAGTACTGAGACTGCTACACTATACTTCTAAAAGAATACCTGCACATACAGTGATAGTTCTTAATACATTTATATCTCTCTTATAATACAGTATGTACCATCAAGTGAATATAATTGTATCTGCTTTGTACATTCCAGTAGCTTCAGGTGTCTTGATATTTTCTAGCTACACTTAGTATGGTCTCCAGACAGGCTCATCCATCCTCCCACTGCTAGCCAAAGTTGTGGGAGAATTACTATGGCTTCCATCTGCGTCCACTCCATCACTATGGTTGGTCAGGTTGTGATTCATCAAGTTGTTCCCAGCTGCCACACTAGTGCAAGAAGAAAGCATTCGTGAAGGAGAGCGTTCTCCTGCAACCATGGAGAAATGGTATGATCCAGAAGATGTGCCATAGTATAAATGGTAAGGAGAAGCATTGGCTTGGAATGGTCCACTTTGGTTTTGAGATGAACTAGGATATGGTGGAGGAAGGTAAGTGGGATGGAAACGTGTGGTGGTAGGCATACCTGTCACACTGATGCCTCCTATTCCAGTTGTTGAGGGAGAAGCCGTGTAGGAAAATGCAGAAGACATGGCTCCGGGATAGTGCACTCGAGCATCTGAGAATCTTGTCTCTGAGAGAGATGGCAAAGTAGAAAAGGAGCGATCAAATGATCTTGGATCTGAGAAATGGCTTAGATCTGTTGCTGCAGTTAAGAAAAAACAAGCTCAGTTAGTTGTGAGGGAGTAATAATTTACAAAATACAACCATATATTAATGCTGAATTCCAGGCAAATAGCTCCAGGTGAAACATATTTATAGTATATATATTACGGAGCTGTTATACCTGGCACAATTTTTTTAAATTTCTACCCATCTTGTCTGAGATTCACATGCACTAGGACAGCAGTGGCGAACCTATGTCATGCGTGCCACAGAGGGCACGCAGAGGCCCCTCTGGTGGCACACGAGCATAGGTCCCGGTTGCAGTGACCTGCACACTCCAGGTGCAGGTCACTGTAAAGTCATGTTAAGTTTTTAAAGATGGCCGCTGCGAATCGCGGCAGCCATCTTTAAACCTGGCACGTGCCCAGATTCTATTTAATATATTGCCGAACCAGCAATATAATAAATCAGGGGTGCCCATTAGGTCGATCGCGATCTACCATTGATCGCAAAGCGATCCCTGGTAGATCGCGATGTCCTGTCCTCCTGACGTGGGGCTTCTCTGGATCCCCGCTGCTCTCCCCCATCTGTATGCAGCGGGGATCCGAGAAGTGAATGAGGCGCTGCAGGCAGCGGCAGGGGTCGGAGCCACTATCATCAGCAGCACGCCGTGTGGTGAGGAGAGAGAGCCGCCTGGCCTGGATCTGACAGCCGGTGGCTCTCTTTCTCCTCACCGCACATGCTGCTGTTCTAAATGAATGGAAAGCACAGAGGCTTCCCATTCATTCAGAAACTATTTACTATCAAGCAGTTTCTGATGGGGAGGAGCCTCTGTACAGAGTGCTTCTGCCCATTGAGAAACTCATGAATGAACAAGGAGTGATGTAAATCACTCCAGTGTTTGTAAATAACTGGGGACACATAGTGCTATGTGTCCCCAGTTATAAATGAACAGGACGTGATTTACATCACTTCTTGTTCATTCATGAGTTTCTCAATGGGGAGAAGCACTCTGTACAGAGGCTCCTCCCCATTCAGACACTGCTTGATGGTAAGTAGTTTCTGAATGAATGGGAAGCCTCTGTGCTTTCCATTCATTTAGAACAGAGGCTGCAAAAAAAGAGATTGAGGACTTTGTGTCCTCAATTTCTTTTTCTATTTTAAAAAGGAAATATCAGGGGGCTGTTTAGACCTCTAATATTTTTTTGATGTGTGTGTTTTAATGTGTGTGTTTCATTACGTGTGTGATGTGTGCGTGTGTTTTTAATGTGTGTGATATCTATGTATGTGTGGTTTCTTTTTATAATGAGTCTGTGATATGTGTTTTATTGAGTGTATAAATGTTTGAATATGTGTGTTTCCCTATTTTGCCTAAGGCAGTGATGTTGAATGTTTTTTAAAGCCTAGCGCCCAAACTGCAATACAATACTATACTTATTTTCAGCACTGGCACTTTGAGATAAATAAATTGATTTTGCGTCGCAGTTTGGGCACTCTGGTTCAAAAACGTTCGCCATCACTGCACTAGGACCTTGGTCCTCAACTGGTGGGTTGTGACCCAAAAGTGGGTCGTGACCCCATGTTCAGTGGTTACCACATGCCTTCCACTTTTCTAGGTGAGAGGCTCCTCATCCTTCCCCTAGCTCAGCACTAACAGTTCTCACGCCAAGCAGCCATTTAAAATATGCTTCCCGGTGCCGAATGTCAGCTTAAGGTGGGGTGGGATGGGGCTTTGGCTATGAGGGAGCTCCATCCACATGTCTATTGCTTACAGCTCCCTCACAAGTTCTGTAGAGCTGCCTGAACCTGAATGACGTCACATTCTGGTTCCTGCCACCTCTACAGGGCACGCAAGGGAGTTGTACCAGCAATGCATATATGGATGGAGCTCTATCACAGCACAGCAACCCAAACTGGACCCCTGGCTGAGGATCCACTCCAGTCCTCATAAGACAGGGAGAGTGAAAATGTCTGTGTGTGTGTGAGATTGTGTCTGTGGATGTGTGTGTACAGTGGGTTAATCACACAGTCCCATGCAAAATTGCACCTACTGTGAATTCAGGTGTGGAAGGTGTATTGCATTGCCATTCATTTGAATGGCACCCCAAAAGCACCTCCCACCTACAATTCTATGGCTCGCACTGGAACGCACGGTACCGCACAGGTTCCAGTGCGGTGTGACTTGGGTCATGACTTAATAACCAGGGACACACAGGTTGAGAACTACTGCACTAGAACACAGCAAAGCCCTGTCTACAGAACAGGAATTGAGGGAAAATCTCACATTTGGCATACGTGTTTCAGCTGCAACTCTCAAACAAGGAATTTACCATCACTTTGATTATATTTCCCCTCAGTTCCAGCTGTATCTCCAGGCAGGAGGTGAGTTCCACTTTAACTATATTATTTTTTTTAACTTTGCTAGGTCAGTTCTGCAACTATAACTGTTTTTTTTAAACACAAATTGTCTTTTT